TCTCTGGACAGACACCACCGCAGAGCATCACTGACCACATCCTTCCGATGGGCTGTGGTCGGAAATCTGGGTCTGGCAGGACTTCGGGGCCTCAAGGGCTGGCTCATCCCATCTGGTGTACCCACAACTCTGACCCAACCAGGCCAAGTCACTCACCACCACCCTGCTTGAGATGCACCCTGGCTGGATTTAGACTAGGCTGGGAGTTTGAGTCCAGCTATCCATTTTGCAGGCTCCCTGTTTGGGGTCCCGCATCTCAGATCTCTCTTTGCCCTAGAGCAGAGGGTTGTGCCCCTGTCCAGTTTGTCCCCTGACCCCTGTGTCAGACCTCCACCTCAGGTCGCCTGAGTCCCCTTCTCCCACACGGCCTTTTCCTGCCTCTGGCCCCCGAAGTCCTGCCGGCAGCCATCTTCAACTTCTTTCTCCCAGACCCACGTCTCCCAACCTTTTCTCCCCACCATCCCCAAATTCAAACTGGCCAGTCCATCTTGAGTGCTGGGACCTGAGAGGTTGCAGCCGGAGGAGACAGCATCTTGTTTGGGAATATTCCACATATTCCTGGAATTGTTCAGAGTCCAGGTTTGGCTCCATGTGCCTTGAGCCCCTCCTTGGAAGCTTGGAAGGGTCCTTGGAAGGGTCCTTGTCCTGGCCTGTCTCCCAGGGATGCTGTGGCAGTTACATAATGTGTTGTCATTTTGAGACTTACGAGTGAAGGGGTGGAGTTTAGCCGGTCAATCAGGTCACAGCTCGATGACCTCATTTGGAGGTGCAGAGGAGATAAATAACTCGCTGAAGGGGAGATACAGGTTCACTCCCTGGGAGACATTGCAGCTGACAAGACACATGGAACTATGCTAGTGCCCTGAGCTAAAGGAGCCCTGTGGAGACCCCTGCCAGCGCTGAGATAGATGCTTACAACGCCACTGGCTCCACAAGAGTTTCCACCCACTGGCCTGTGATCTTCCTGCATTCGCCATGATTGTTTGGCTGCATGAGCTCAAAGAGGAATTTATGGACTAATATCACACATAGGGGATAATATCGGACTTGTGGACTTGATCTGGACTGGGCTGGGATGTTTTCTCCATGTTCAATTGCTCTTGTATAGAAAGCCCTTTCTTACACACACATGCGTGTCTATGAATTTGTTTCTCTAGTCCACCCAGACTGACACAGATGCTAAGGTGCAGCCCTTTCCCCCGGTTATCTTCCAGAAAATGAGGAGAGACCCCCTCTCCCTCTGGATGGCGCAGATCAAAGAGCTGGCAGGCCCTCCTAACCCCTTCTACTCACGGGGAAACTGAAGCTCAAAGAGGGAGCCTTGATGGTTTTGTTTTGTTTTTGCCCAGCATACGTCGAAAGAGCTGATGGCCAGTTGATTCCATGGATTGGATTGTTTTCTCCCGAAAGTCTGCGCCAACGTGGCTGGGCCGTGATTCTCAGAGATTTGGCAGTTTGCTACGATGTAATTATCCTCCTTTCCGATAAGCTCTGGCCTCTTTCGAATGAGGCACGCTTTATGTTATGTGAACGGGGATTCGGGGACATTCACGAGGGTGCAAGGAGTAACACCCAGACTTGGTGAACTCAGAGCGTCCACCTCGATGGGAAGCGGCCACAGCCTTGTGGAGAGTCCAGCATGGGAGCTTCAAGTCCCAGGCGAGAAGCAGCGTCCGATGGCTGACCTCAATGTCCACCTCACACACCCTCTAGAAGTCTGGTGCCTTCCCATTGGGTTTTTGGAAAACCTCTGGAGATGACAACCGAAGGGTCGGTTCTCTCTGGAATCACTCCAACCCTCCCCCCCCCCAAGGGGTCCACACCTGGTCCTTTCTATCACCTGGCTTAGCCACATTCCTGACACCTCACATTCCTGCAGATGGTCCACATTCAGGTCCACATTCACCCATGGAGTTAACACAATCTCTCCCTGCCACTGACACTTTCAGTCCCGCAAAGCTTGTTGGACCTCGGGACTGAGATCAACACAACTGGGTTAGCCGAACTTAATTGTCCAGGGGAAATGTTCTGATACCATTCCTCACCTGGGCAGAACCTTGCCTCTCAGAATTAAACCTGTCATATTAATGCCAGGGGGGCATTGAGGTACAAATATAGGGTGGTTCTGGGTCCTCTTCCTTTGGACACCCTCTAATCCAGGGGTCCCAACCAAGGTCCTACGACCACCATTTCCCCATCTTGGAATGCCCATTCTTTGCTCCCTTTCACATCAGGGCATTTCAGTCCCAAGTCCACCGGTACAGGGAGTTCTGATGGAGGCCCCGTTCACTCAGTTGCACATCCACCGGGAGCGAGGCTCAGTGATAATCCGAGGGACCAGCATCCCCCCAGTCCATCTCTCCCAGCTGGTGAGGAGCAGACCCTGCAGACCCAGCCTGTCTCCGCCAGGTGTAGGGTCTGCGTCATGGGAGCTGTGTCACACACAATTGCTGTGCTATCAAACCACTGTTTTC